CTCTGACCGAGGAGCTACCAATCTAAAATGGGAGATCAAAAGGTGCGTGATCGATTTTTCGAGCCATGGTTGGAATATTTCCCTTTAAGTTATTTCGTTCACTCATAACTGAATCAATCCATCCAATATTTCAGTTTTTTAAATTGATATTGAATCAGTTCGTTTCCTTTTTTAAACTTGTATTTTTTTCTTGATCTAGGATGACACCTCTTCAGATGGATTATAAATGGTTTCGGATTTCCTAAACCTTCGTCAAAGTAGACGTGAAGTTATCAAAGTGAGGGAATGAGCAACTTTTGTTAAGAAAAAGTGCAGCTTTAATGACTCTGAAGTGATTATAAGAATCTTTTTTCGTAAATGAACTGACCTATTTCCCCGTATGATAACCCAAGTATTTAACCCTTCCCCCCCCTTGACATCAGTACGTATATTTTCCATATCGTTTTCTATAAGCACTGGCAAGGAGAATTTATATCGGGAATTGAACTGAGTGGAGTGTAAGTTGGTCTGAGATCATAAGCGTGATTTGAAAATCGACCGAGTGACTGACGGATGGGTGAAATAAGAATGAAAGAATCCTTATGTTCTTAAATCTAACCGTAGCTTTAGTTAGTGGTAACTCATAGAAGCTTTTATTCACTAATCCAAGGTTTATCTCCCTTTTTTTCCAGATATTCAACTGCAACTAAATAAAAAATATTTTGGATGGATCTGGTTAATGTGTGTTTCTTGTTTATGCGTCCTTCTTATAACCGCTGAGCGTCTTTCGTTAACCGTTTCGTTCGCCTCTACTGACCGAGATGGCAATAGAGGGGTCAGGTTCTATTTCCCTTTTTTCATATGATAAAGTTTAATAAAGGTGAGCGTTTTCCCAAAACCTAATTTTTGCTGGGTATGACAGGCTTCTTTCGGAGCAGCGGAAGGAGCTTGGGAATGAGTCGTCTGTTATCAATCAGCGGTTGTTTTCGTAATGGCGGACGTTTCAAGTAATGTCGAAAGCTGGACCTCTCTTCCTAGTGTTTCTTTGCGAGAATTTATAGACAAGAAAATAACTATTTGTGTCTGTGACAACAGTAGGAAAGTTGGATGGGTACTTGCCATCGACCCAGTGACATACACCGTGGTTCTACAAGAAGAAACAGAGAACTTAAATTCCAAGAAGCTAACTTTTGTTATGGGACATGCGATCAAGCGTGTTGTTCTAGAGGAAAATGGAGGTGCTCGTCCGCCAAAGATTAATTTTCTTGAATTGGAGAGCACGAAAGAGTATTCACAGGATGAAATTGTAAAACGAAAAGGTGATCTGATTGAGTGGCTGACAAAGAATCGAATCCCAGTAACTGAGAGTTCGGAAGACAGTGGCGTATTGTCGGTAATGGGAGTTCTTTTTGTGGAACCTCCGTATGATCCTGAAAGCTGTAGATGTAGCAATGAAATCGTGTTAGATCGCATTCAGAAGCTTATACGAGCACAGAAAGA